ATGAGGGAAAATTGAACTATCTGTTACGCCCTCATCGCATACACAGCTTTGTCGTGTAATGCGATCCTTGTGAAACTTTTCCTACATTCACCACGGTTCTCGCATGCTCGCAGGAGCATGGATCTTCACTTCTCGCAAGCTTTTCAGCATTTTTAAACGCGTGTGCCAAAGATGGCCTTTGTCTTCTTCCTTCCTTCTTCTTTGGCTTTGTAGGTGTCCTAGAAATCAAATGCGTGAAATCCACACTCTACTGGCATGGCTTCCACTCTCCTATTGAAAAACTCGGGCGCACTCACTTTTTCTCCACGTCGCGGCCGTTGCTGTAGTCCGCAACTCCTTTTGGTCTCGCCACTTTTGGCTGTTGAGAAACTTTTGGCCTTTTAAGCTTTGGCTTCTTTCGTAGTGCTCGTAGTGCCTTTTGTCGTGTGCTTAGGAGCCTTTTACGCGGCGTCCTTTAGCATTCTGTGGCTTTTGGCTTGCCACTTCTTTCATTTGCCATTCTGTGGCCTTTGGCTTGCCACTTCTTTCCTTTTGGAAATTTCGTGAAACTTCTCTCCTTTCTCACAGGCTTCTAAGCAGTGTGAGACAAAAACACTACGGCCTTGTTTATACACCTGCCTTACGGTGTTTTCTTTTGCCCTGGGCGGCTTTCCGCCCTCACGCTGTCCTGGGCGGCTTTTCCGCCCTCACTTTCTTTTGGTCTTTAAACCTTAATACCCCAAGGGCCCTTGGGTCCTCTCTTCAGTAGAGTCTGGAGTCCCCGGTTGGGGTCTTCCACCACGACGGCGGATCCTCATCCTCTTCTTGTTGATCTTGTACCAAAGCTGGGGTCATTTCCGCACTTCTTTGCTGGGAACCGGCAACGAAAGCGTCGAACGCCCTTTGTGCTGATTCTCCCAACACTTGTTGACCCATGACTTCAAGTGTGCTTCTTCTCTGAGCAAAGGTCATTTGGTCCCACTCTTCCTCAGTGAGTTCTTCTGGACGATTGTTGCTATTCACCACTTCTTCTTGGTTCCATTGACCATCACCTTCTTGATACTCTTCTTCCTCTTCATCATCACCGGCTTGAGTATCTTCATCCTGATCATACCAGTACCGCCATTGCTGCTCTGCAAAATCGCCAACACATTCAACACAGGCGCAACTTTCGTGACTTCTCTTTCGCCTTGAGCAGTTTGCGGCTCCACACCAGCTGCATGGGAGCATACATATCTGCTCCACTTCAACTGTTCTTTGCCTTTCAGCGTAAGCCTTCTTCTTGTCGCCTGGGTGGCACTTCCAGCACGATCGTAGGCCTTCTTTTCTTCCTCTACTTTTTCCTCTTTCTCTTCCTTCTTTTCTTCTGCTTTCTTCTCTTCTGCTTCATCTGCAACTTCATTTGCCGCTGATACAACTTGCTGTCTTCTTTCTTTGGCTGCTGCCTTCAACTCTTCGAGCTGCTGTAGTCTTACATCCATGAGCCTTCCTTGCTCTTTTACTCCAGCCTTGACTTCCTCTGACAGGACTATCTTCTCACTTTCCAAGGCTTCCAACTTCTCTTTCTTTGCATTCTTGAGCTCTTCGTGCTCCTTTTCCAACTCCTCAGCTGTCTTCTTGAAGCTTTCGAGGTCTTCTTCTCTTTCTCTTTTCTTCTTTCCTTTTTCATTCTCGTCGTCCTCTGCTGACTCGCTTTCCTTTGACTCTTCTCCATCGGACTCTGGATCCGACGCAGCTTCACTTTCCTCCTTCTTCTTCACTTGCTCTTCTTCTTTTGGATCCTCTGCTTCTTCATCAGTCGCCTTATCCTCACGGTCTTGGTTGAGTGTCTCTACCACTTTCCAGATCGAATCTGCACTCGGTCTGTTTGCGACTTCCTCTTTGAGCAATCTTCTGATGTACTCAGTTGCCCTTATGCTTTTGCTTTTGTCAGTAATGATCACTTTTACATCTTCATCAGTTGTCACCATTGTTCTTCCTTCGTCCTCTTTTTCTTCTTCCTTATCTTCTTTCCCGAGGACTTGCTTGAAACTCTTGAGCAAAACGGCGTCGAATATGCATAACAACATGTACATCAACATGCACATCACTACACTTGCTTTTCCCAGTCCTTGTACATCTCCATCTTCACCTGTTCCGCCGCCTTTTGCTTCAGCCAACGATAACAACACTGATGTCGTGACCGCTTGAATAATCCTTGTGATCATCCTTTCATCAAATCTTGTAACACTTCTTGATCTTCGGACTTCAGCTTCTTCTTGAAATTCTTGAGCATCTTGTGTCAAATACTCACCTGTATATCCGAGACTTAGCAGACTTAGCATGTATTTGCGTATCTTCTCCCTTGTCAGGGATTTGGTCCCTAAGTCTGACGGATTATCCTTGCCTGCTACTGCCTTTATAACAAGCTTCGGGATTCTTTGGATCCATAAGAGGTCCACTTGCAAATGGCGTGCTCTTCCTAAACCTTTTCTTGAAATCAACTGCCTTGAGCTTGACGAATCACTGTATAACATCAGTCTTGGCTCTACTCCTAAGATTCTTGTCAGTAATCCTTTCAGGAATACACCTTCGCTTAAGATTGATGTCGCTGCGATTGTCCCAGCTTCGCAAGATGATAATGCCACGCTCTTTTGTCTCTTGCTTTGGAAATGAACCAGGTTTCCTTTCACCATTATCACTCCACACGAAACGCTTTGCCTTGACTCTCGGTCTGCTGCCCAATCTGTCGCTTATCACCTCTATCAGTGCTGGCACTTTGTAGTTGTCCCTCTCGACGTTTCCTTCATTGCTTCTGTTCTTCACTTCCAGGAAACTTTTTCCAGGGTAACTTCTTTGATGTACCAACGCAAGTTCAGGTGTTCCTTTCATTCCTTTCAGATACTTTCCAACGAACCTTAGCAGTTCCATGTCTGCTTCAACAGGTGATGCTAGCTTTGTCGACAGCTTCTTCAGGACATACATGATATCTGGCCTCTCAGGCGCAAGATACAGTAATATCCCTACTCCTTTTCTGTACGTGTGGTGATCTTCTGCGCTCAGTGGTTCCATTCCACCTTTCTTCGCTTGAAATGCTCTTCCATTGTCTGCTGGACACGGTAGTTTCTTTGGATATGCTCCTTCCAGTTTCAGCACTTCTACCAGTCCTTCAACGTACTTTGAGTTCATCGTGATCTCCACGTTTCCATTGTTCATCGACTTGAAGCTTCTCTTCAGGAAACTCATTGATCCTTCCTCTTCATCGAGTGGTCCTTCAACCTTGATCTTCAATCCTTTGCTTCTCAAGAATTCAACCAACTTCTTGAACTCTTCTCTTGATGCGTACAGTTCCATGTCGTCTACGTGACTCAATACGATCACTCCGAATCCTTCTTTGTCTGGCATCCTTGAGAATAGTGCCGGGAGTCCACTGTCACTTATGCGAGGTTTGAAGAACTCTTGAAGAAGGTCTTCACCACGGAGCCCAGCCTGGGCACCAAAGCCGCAGTGCGGCGTTTGGCTTTTGAAAGTTTGACCTTCAGTTTCCAGGACAGCGTCACCCAAAAGACTTTGCCGCTGCACGAGTGCGAGGAGCGCCGTGGCGCGCCTCCGCGGCGTCGTTATTGAAGGAGAGTACGACCCCACGCACAGCCTCGTGGACAAGGCAGCGCTCATGCTGCAGGACGGCATGGTAAGGTACATCCCGCCGTTGCAGTGCCTCAGTCGGGATGCCGAGATCGCCTCAGTGAGGCGAGACAAGGAGTTCTTCTCCCTTGAGGCAGGGGAGATAACCCTCAAGAAAAAGGAGCACAGCGTGCATCGAGATTGGGAATGAGTTGAAGCTCACCCAAGCTCTGACACGCCGCGGCCTCGCGCTCGACAGAGTCGGCGTTTTGGACTTTACGATCCACGAGACTTGTGCGACAGTTCTTCTCCGTTCTCAACCGGCCAGCGCCGCCGGGAAGAGAGTGCAGTAGCAGTTGGCACGTAGTGCCGACAAAGAACTTTCGACGCTCATAGCGCGAGAGTGTCGCACGGGATGCAAACCCGACAAGGATGGTAGGCGGCCACTTGCTCTCTAGTCGAGAACATGTGGTCCGATCCTATCGTGACCATGCATCTACTCTCGTCGCCAGTGGCGGACCGGAGTCGCAGCTCCAAAGGCAAAGGCCGTGGCAAGGGCCGCGGTTTCGTGCGACCGAAGGCTGCCACCGAAGGCTGCACCAATGCATGAGCTGCGGTAGCTCCGAGCACGGCGCCGCTGACTGCCCAAGGAGGCGGGCGCCGCCTAACCAGGGGAAGCGGGCAGCGCCGCTGGCAGAGCCACTTCCTGAAGGTGCAGTGTCACCCGCTGCTGGGTCCAGCCCTATATGTCCGCTCAGTGAGCGGGCGCCAGGCCCCTGCAGGCTGAGTAAGGCTGCCATTGAGAAAGGTTTCTCAAACATTGCCGTAGACCACAGAAGTTTGAAGTTAGACCAGGGGCCTGAAAGTCCTGGCTGGACCTTTGCTCCCAGCTGGGGTACAACCTCTTGCAAGCAGTGCTTGCGCGCGAGGACTTGAGATGGGTCCACTGGGCCGCCGTGCGGTACTTTCAGTAGGGCATGGGAGACATCCAGGCGAGCGCGGCCTCTCTCCGCAGCGACCTTCGCCCAGCGGGCCTCAAAGGACTCAAGGGAGTCGACGCTGCACGGGTTCGCAGGGCGAACAGCCTCGTGTCTTTCATGGCCTCCTGCTGCAAGACTCTGTTTCAGCAAGACGTATGTTGGTCCGTAATCCGGCTAGCTTCTTTTAGCTGTCACGGCTCAGGTGCTGTGGCGTGGCCACCTGGTCTACCGTAGGCGTAGGTGTAAACTTCCGCGTAGTGGTAGCTGTCCACTCAGGAGCAGATGAGGCTAATATACACCTTTGCTTGTGTCGTTAATGTTGCTTTCTTGTTATGCTTAGGGGCTGCTCACCCTAAAGCTTGGGCTTTTAGGTGGTTGGATGGTGCGGGGTTTTCTTTTGATTACTCCCGGAGTGTCGTAGGCCAGCCTGGCCTTACCATGGCAGCCAAGCGATGTGCGTGGGAGACCAGACATGATATCTGTGGGGTTACTTTGTCTGATCCGGCTGAGTTGTCTCTTGTTACAGGGGCAACATGCTCGGGTATGGCTTCCATTCCTGCAGCTCAGATCAACGAGACTTCAGAGGGACTTGCCTTCGTGACCCATGCAAGATTGCAAGAGCTCTCAACGATACGAACCAGCCGACCGTGCGCTCTGATTCTCAAAGGGTTCATCTCCCAGAAGATTGTCAGCCTCGGTATCGCATCGAACCGCGTGCATCAGATAGTTCTTACGTTGTGGGATGGCGTAGCTTCTTTAGTAGAGGCTCGCGCTGTATCCTTGGTGAACCTTGCCGTTGATGAAATGGATTTCATCAACAAAACCCATTCAGATGATGAACTTGCGTTGCGTGATGAGTCAAAGCTGCCAGTTTTGTTTGAGATGCGTCAAGCAGAGGCGGCTTCTTCTGATTGGAAGGCATACGGAACAGTGGCAGCGTTCAACGTGTACGTTGAGTCGTTACTGAAGTCCTTGGGTCTCTTGGGTCAGTCCATCCTGCATAAGACTACTGAGAAGCAAGACTACTTTGTGCGCAGAGTTCAGATTCCATCCGGTTCTCGCGATGCCGTTTACCGGCGTTCAGGTGCATGCTCAGTTCAGTGCCGTGCAATTCGGGGACCACGGGATCCACAAGAAATCGGTCTAGAGGTTATGAAAGTGCACGGTGAGCGAAACCTCGCGGAATTCTTCAAGTTTGGAGAAGGTCTTGAAGGGCACTTGGGAGTATTTGCCTCGCAAGGCGCGACGTATGTTAGGATTGCAGATTCTCATCTAGCGGCAGCCCGTGCACACTGGTTTCCTGGCGATGAAAGATTCAACGAGGCTAACTCCGCAGTCAAGTGCTCCATGACGTTCCGCATACAAGGACTCCCCGCAGGCTCATCAATGAATGACGTGATCACCGCGGCTAAGACGTTTGACTGGGATATAGTGCCCATTCGAATTTACCACTATCAAGAGTTAGCTTCAGCCATCGTTGCAGCACAGGTTGAGCCGAAGCAGACCCGTGTTGCTACCAGTCTTGGCACTCTTCTCGTCACGGAGGAAGTACGACAGTACCGGAAGGCCAACAGAAAGGATTCGTGTCAATCGCAGCCCCAAGGAGAGTCTCTAACACCATCCTCAACTTCTTCGAGTTCGGCAGCTGTCAGAGCCCTCAACTTCGCCACACGTCGGCCAGGTCCGTCGTTGTTGCCTCCCCCCGATGCGGTCATCCATGGCAGAGTGGATGCTCTAGAGAAGCAGTTGGGGCAAGCAGTTAAAGATATTGAGGCTTTACGAAGTGATCAAATCGACACCAAAGAACAGCTGAGGGACTTGAAAAGTTCTCAAGATGTAGGTTTTAGGGACCTTCTTATGGCGATTCAAGAGCTCAAAGCTGGCAGCTTCGCATCAAACAGCTCTCCGGCGCACGCCGTTTCTCCACCTTCCAAGCAACAGCGAGTTTAATACTCGCGAGATCAATCTGGAGAGCCGTTGATGTGTTGAGCTTCCTCTCATCCGCGACTTTGAGAGACGCTCGCATTGCCTGTATCGTAATCGCTTATGCTTGCTTGGTGCTCATGGTCCTTCACATTAAGATTTGGCTTTGCGTGCTTCTCATGGTGGTTATCCTCGTGTACTGGAGGTTTCCTTATGGGGTGTTCAAGTCCAAGGTTAAACAAGTCAGGGTGAGACGAGTTTTGCGGACTAAAGTGCTGTCTGTCACCATGGCTTTGTTTATCTCTTGCTCCTATTGCCTGTTGCTGTAGGTTCGAAGGCAAACGTGGATCGCCGCTCAAGCATGTGGTTCGAGCAAGTGCTCGGTCTCGTACAGGCCGGAGTGAGTTCGAACTGGTGGGGTCTTGGGTGTCCGTCGCACTGTCAGGGTTCCCTGTTGGTTCTCGTGCTTTGCTTCGGCTGTGGTTTCTCCTTGGGGGTTGTTCTGACCTTGGTTTTCTTCAGGGATAACCTTTTCAGGATTCCTCTCCAGGTGCCCACTGTTGCCCCTTCTCCTCCTGCCAAAGCTTCACCGGCTCCCCGGCCACCTGGACTTCGGCTTCGGGCCTACGTGCATGAGTGAGCCTCAGCTGGCCGAGGCTATCAACAACCTTGCGGACTCCTTGTCCCAGCTCTCCCTTGCCATCCGGCCCTCTACCTCTAGCCCTAGGGGTTCTAGTGATAGTTGGTTGGTTGTAGGCCCCGACTCTCCCGTCGAGCCTGGTTCCCGTGTGGCTCCGGGCCCTGGCCCTTTGCATCATTCCTCCCTCAGTGCCTCGGACCTCTCCGCCAGGTACAACGAGTTGCAGGGCAGCTTTCCTCCTGTGCCTGCCCATTGTGTTAGGGCTTGCCGTGCCCTTACTGGCTCAGGCTCTTCTCCTGAGGCCCGAGCCTCCCGTGCTTGGATTGCTGGACTTTGGGCTCGTCACTGTCTCGACGACTTGGTGCCGACTCCGCGCCCCTCTGCCAAGCTGCCTTCTTCGCTTCGACCCAGGCTTTACGTTGTGCTGCGCTGTGACGGGCTGTCTTGCCCCACCCGTTTTGCGTCTGCCCGGGCTTTCAAGCAGGCCGTTGGAACCCTTGAGGGGTCGAGCACCATTTGCCACGGATTTGCCTCCTTGGCTGAGGCCGAGGTCTTCTGCGAAGCTGCCCAGGTCGCCTTCCCGCCGGAGCAATGACCGACTTGGCTTCACTGGAAGTGCTGTCGGAGGGTGCCCTGAAGTTTTTGGCACTGGCTTGGCCGGAGGGAGAACGAACTGCCCCGGTGAGCGAGGCTCTCGCGATTCCGGTCCTCAAGAGCGGCTCGAGCGTTCTCCTTTGCATTCCCTGCGGGTTTTTGTCTCTGTCGGCGCTGGACGCAGGACAGACTGCGGAGGACGACGCCCTTCTTGGGCCTTCCCGCCAGGTGACTCTTCCTTTTGGCAACACGGACGAGCAGGGACTGGAGGTGCCAATCGACCTCGAGCAGCCGGTGCTGCTTGTCGACTTTTCTTCGGCAGTGCTGGAGTTTCTCCGGGATTTGGGGGAAGATCTGGTTGCCGAAGGGGTGTTCCCTTATATTCTTCACCAGCCGGACGCCACGCCTTTGGGAGACGAGCTTCTGACTGCAGCCCGCTCTTGGGTGAGGGAATCCCCTGCGGAGAGGATCGCCTTCTACTCGGCCCTCGAGGATGCCGAGCCAATGCCTGCCGAGCCTCCCGGCCCGAAGGCCCCAAAGGGGAAGAAGGCCACCGCTGCCAAAAAGAGGGTCACGACGGCCGACCTGGCCCAGCAGATGACCCAACTTGTCTCCATGCTTCCTTCCCTTACCGAGCAGATCACTGCAATGAAGGAGCGACAGGAGACTTTGGAGAAACAGGTTGCCGCGGGTCCTGCCCAACCGACCCTTCCGCTTCAACCGAAGCCCGCTCATCAGCAGCCCTTCCTTCCGAGCAGGGGCCCAGGATTACCTCTGGCCAAGCAGGCTTCGTTGGTGGGCCCGCCGCCCAGGACGCGACCTCCCGCTGGGGAGGCGGCGCCGGCCCCTCTGGATGCTGCCGGGGCCCTCGATGGAGACACAACTCTCGACCCTGCCCGGGAGCCTCTGCAAGCGGCCCTTCTTCAGCAGAGTCAGGCTCTGACCAGCCTTGTGAACCACCTTGTTTCTCAGCAGGACGGCGGCCTGAGCGATCTGGCTTCCTCGAGTTCGGCAGGTTATGTGGGTTCCAAGGGCGCAGCCCGCCGGGAGAAGCTTCAAGGACTCCTGGCCAACCGGTCGGGCGACTTCTTCCTCTCAGTGGTGCAAGCTGCCTCCAAAAGGCTTCATCCTTCACAGCCATCCCCGACTTCCATCGCCGCTTGCTCGGGTCAGGTGTCGATGTGCCAATACCTCGAGAGGTTCGGTGGCTACGCAGGTCACCGGGAGACTGGCTACGTCATGTGGTGCCTGGCTCACGTGATGGACTGTTTGATCCAACAGGACGTCACTGGGGCTCAGGAGTTCCTAGCCCTGACTTTTGTGGCGCTGGACCAGTCCTCGCTGGACGGGGGCCGCTGGGACTTTGCTTGGCTGCTGACGCTTCTGGAGGAGCCACCTGCTCAGCTCTTTCATGGGCGTGGTGTGAGCGCGAACCCGCGCACCCGTGCGTTTTCTCCGCTCTCACCTGTGGGCTGGACAACCTGTGCCCTTCAGTACCTGAAGGAGGTCGACCTCATAGTCACGCGGCGGCTCGAGACCATAGGCTCTGGGACCCCAAAGCCGCCTCAGCCCAGCACGGCCGCAACGCCTCAGGCCGAGGAGACTCCCAAGCCAAAGGGGCCACGGCGTTACCCCAGGAAGGCAAAACCCGACGGGGCAAAGTGAACTTCTGCTCTCGGCTCCCGCCTGGCCTCGCGACTCCTGTTCGGGTGCTGGGGTTTGACACTAGGGTTAACTTCCCTTCCTGGGTTTCTGGGCTTCTTAGAGCAATCCTCCGAACCAGGACCACCTTTGCCTTTTTTCTTTCTGCTACTTTGCACCTGCCCAGGCTTGATCGGCCTGCACCGCCTTCTGGGGCATTGTTCCCGTTGCCTCTTCCTTGTGATGGGGCTTTTGCCCGCTTCCCTTTGGAGTGCAGCTCTCGCTTTAGGCGGCGCGTCATGCACAGGCGCCTCCTGCACATCGTTTGCATGGCTTTGAATTTCTTGCATTCGAACTTTGTGCCAATCCCCCTTTCTGCGCTCCAGCGGCCACACAATGCTGCACAGCGAAGCCTCGTTGCGCATGTTGGTCGCCATTTGAAGGCGTTCGGTGCCTCGGTCGGGGAGTTTAGCCTCTCTGATTCTGGCCGCCGCAATCCCCAATTGATTGCACGACTTTCTGAGCTTTTGGCTTTCTTGTCGGCCTCCTCGGCCGCCACGGGGGATGCTTATGCTGATCTTTCAGGCACTGCCGTCCCTATGCACAACGAACTGCGTCCCGGGCTTGATCCTTTCAAGTCTCTTGATGTTTCGAGGCTGCGCCTCTCGGGCCGTGGCGCCTGGGATCCGCTTCCGCATCTTCCTGATGAGCTCTATATGGCTTATGCGGAGCCTCGCTCGCTGCATCACGGCGCGCCGCCTGGTGATGAATTCCTTCCTGTGTGGACCCGCGAGAGCCCTGCCCAAACCGCCTCTCTTGCTTCGCTTTGGGACGAGCTTGGGCTCCTTCGTCTCGTTCCTGCCTCCATCTCCTGTTCGGAGAGCTATCGTCTGGCACGAGCATTCAACTGTTACAAGACCGTCGACAAAGACCGCATGATCATTGATCGCCGTGGGCAAAACGCCGCCGAGGCCAGGCTCCCTGGCCCGAGCCTCTTTATCCCAGTGGGGCCGATGCTTGGGATGCTCGAGGCCAATCCTGGCAAGCAGTCGGTCCTTTGCGCGGCCACTGACAGAAAGGATTTTTATCATCAGTTGCAGGCCGGCGAGAACAAAGCGGTTTGCAATGCGCTCGGCCCGGCCCTGCCACGGGCCCAGGTTCAGCACCTTAAGGCTTTTCGGAACCTGCTCCGGCCTCCTGCCGAGTGGTTGGGTGGATCTTCTTTTGCACTTTCGGGTCAGAGGCCCAGCCTGCTTTTCGATCCCTCCCATTTTCTGATCTGCTTCGGCGCTGTCGCTCAGGGCGACCACCTTGGAGTGGAGTTTGGGACAGCCTGTCACTCCTCTGTGCTTTCCGCCGGTGGGTTGCTTGCCGAACACCAAAGACTCTGTGCCAATCGGCCTTTTAAGGGCCTTTCCGCCGCAGAGGGCTTGGTTATCGATGATTATTTTTCGGTGTGCGTCCACGACCTGACCTCGCGGTCGCCCCCGCTCTGCCTGAGCCACCTCTGGGCCGCCAAGAAGATCTATCGGGATGAGGGCTTGCTTGGCTCTGATGATAAGGACATCCTTGCCGAGCCCTTTGCCAAAATAGCTGGGGCCCAGGTGAACTCCACGGCCTACGCTCGCAGCCTCGGCCTGATTACTGTCTCCGCCCCTTCGGATAAAAGGGTTGCTCTTGCCATGGTCACACTTGAGGCAGCGAGGTTTGGGAGCATCACTGACAGTTTGCTGCTTTCCCTTATCGGCAGCTGGACCTCGGTCGCTTTGTTCAGAAGGCCGCTTATGGCTGTGCTTTCTTCGGCTTACGCTGTTGCCCCCGGCGCTACCGTTAATGCCAGCCTGCCTCGGCTTTGCCTTCTGCCCCGTGCCGCCTCTCAGGAACTCGTTCTTCTGAGCGTTTTGTCTTTGCTGGCGGCTGCCGACCTCTCTGCTCCTTTTGGTGATTGGCTGTATGCCACGGACGCTTCTGAGCGTAAGGCGTAAGGGCGGTTATGTTAAGGCCAGGGCGGATGCTTCGCTTTTGCGCCCTCTGTGGCGCACTGCTTCAAAGAAGGGGGGTTATAGTCGGCTCTTCTCCAAGGAGGAGGCCGTGCTTGCCAGGTTCACGGACAGGGAGCCCTATGACCTTCGCATGCAGGCCGGACCTTCTGGCGCTTCACTTTCGCGCCCCCTGGCCTACTTCTTTGACTTCCTCGAGGCCGGTGTGGGCTGTGGTCAAGTTAGTTCTGTACTGACGGGATTGGGTCGCTCGGTCGGTCCCTACCTGGCTCCTTGCAACAGCTCTGCCTATGATTTGTCGAACCTGCGCACTTTCGAGTGGCTTCTTTTCTTGATCCAGCATAGGCGGCTGCGGTCTCTGTTGCTCCTGCCTCCGACCACCACTTTCTTGACTTCCGGCTGGCCTTCGAAGCGTTCACGTGATTTCCCCAAGGGACGCCTACCGCCTAGCTCGCGCACCCTTCGTGCCAACCTCCTGGCTTCGCGGTTTCTTGCGGCCTTCTTCTCGGCCCTCTCGTGTGGTGTCGTCTGTGTCCTTGGACACCCTGGCAGCTCCTACCTTACCTGTTGGCCTGAGTGGCGCCGCCTTTTGTGCATGGGGGCTACCGAGCTCTCTTTGTGCCTCGGCCCGTTTTTGGGCACATGCTGCAAGGATTGCAAGTTCCTTGTTTTTGGCATTGATCTTTCTTCTCTTCTGGTTCCTTGCCGCCTTTGCGCCTCGGCTGTAAAGACTTCGCTTCGCAGCGGCTTGGACTTTTCATTCCCCGCTTCTTTTGCCAAAGCTTTAGCCACTGAGTTTGACCACGCCCTGCGTCGGGTGTCTCACGTCGACTCGCACCTTCGACTGTCGACCGATGGGCTCGAGAACCCCGTCCTGAATGACATTGTTCTTTCATTGTCATGGGAGGAGGGCTCCGCTTGGACTTGGCGCTCCCCCACTCACATCAACATTCTGGAGACGGCCTCGATTCTTCGACTTCTTCGTTCCCTTGCACCTGGGGGCCCTCAGCGAGTCGTTGTCCTGGTTGACTCCTCGGTTGCTTTCAACGCCTGCGCCAAGGGTCGGAGCCCATCCTTTGGCTTGATGCCTGTCCTCCGCAAGATCGCTGCTGTGTGCCTTGCTTCGGGCTTGACGGTTTCCTTCCACTTTGTGCCGACTCGCCTTAACCCGGGTGATTGCCCCACGCGCGACTTGGATCTGCCTGCTCCCCTTGCTTCTTCCTTTTGGGGCAAGCTTTCCCATGATGAGCTCTACGAGGGCCTTGCTATGCCCAAGCTTCGTCGGTGGGCCTCGAATTGGGCCAGGCTGGTTTGTCTTACTTGTGGCTGCCCTCCTGCTTTCAGGCCTTCTTTGGGCTGGCGTGCTCTCAGATCCTCTTCGCGCCTTTTCGATTCTTCCCTTGGCTATCCTGGAGAGGGTCCTTCTTTCAGGGTTTTCCTTTGGGGGTTTCTGTTCTTCAGGGTTCTAGCTGTGCCGAGCCATGTTCTTCGCCCGCGGAATGCTGCTGACGAGAAGCGTTCTGCTGCCCGTTCTGTGGTGCTGCTTCCTGAAGGCCGCCCGGTTGAGCCGGTTACACAGAAGCGGCGCGATAAGCTCCTCGCCGCATTCGCCGACTGGCTTCTGGAACAAGGTTTTGAGTTACTGGACCTCTGTGACCTACAGCCGGGAAGCACAAAGCGACTCAACCAGATGTTGGTCTGTTACGGCCGTCAGCTTTTCGATGCTGGCTGGCCTTATTCTCACTACTCTGAGGTTATAAACGCTGTCACCGGGAAGGAGCCCGGGCTGAGGAGATCTTTGCAGCCTGCTTGGGACCTCGCTTTTGCATGGCTACGGGAGGAGCCTCATTCTCACCATGTTGCTCTCCCCTGGCAGCTCTTGACGGCGGCCTGCTCTCTGGCTCTGTTGTGGGGATGGCCGAGGGTTGCAGGAGTTCTGGCTCTTACCTGGGGCGCTGTTATGCGCATTGGTGAAGTGTTTTCTGCTCGACGACAGGACCTTCTTTTGCCGGCCGATGTTCGAGGTACTATTTGCTTTGGTCTGGTTTCGATAGGCGAGCCCAAGACTCGTTTCCGTGGGGCTCGGCACCAGTCGGCTAAGATCGATCAACCAGACCTGCTGGCTATTGTTACCTTGGCTTTTGGGCATCTGGGTGCTCATTGTAAGCTTTGGCCATATTCGCCGGCTACCATGCGCAGCCGCTTCGACCAGCTGATTGCCAAGCTCGGTGCTGACAGGTGGCGGGACCAGGGGTCTCGCAAGTTGGACCTTGGTTCACTGCGTGCAGGGGGGGGCCACATGGCTCCTTCAGACTTCGGAGGATTCTGAGCTGGTGAGAAGACGTGGCCGTTGGTTGAACAGCAGGACAATGGAGATATACATCCAGGAAATTTCTTCTCTGCAGTTCATGAACCGCTTGCACCCGGTCTCGCGTTCCCGCGTCTTCTCGCTCCTGGACAGCTTTAACGATATCCTCCAGGCCGCCATCAAGCTGCAATCTTGCTCAACGCCGCCAGGGCTGTGGTATACTCTTTTTGCCGCGGTATAGGCTTTCGCTTTTCTGCAATGGATGGAAGATGTGGTGGAGGCAAATTGGCTGTGGTGTTTCAGTGGGACGACTGCATACGCAGGTGCAAAAAATCGTGGCAGTTCGATCTCAGAGTGAAGCCGAGAACCTGTTGCTGTAGGTTCGAAGGCAAACGTGGATCGCCGCTCAAGCATCCCACCCGCCACGCCCTCCATCCCACGGCAAATTGGCTGTGGTGTTTCAGTGGGACGACTGCATACGCAGGTGCAAAAAATCGTGGCAGTTCGATCTCAGAGTGAAGCCGAGAACCTGTTTAATGTTAATGATGCTGTGCCCTTGTTTAACATGGGTCATGGTACAGTCACAGTTACTGAAAGCGTGAATCAACGCGACTTAATTCATGTGCACAGTGTTACTTCGTTTGCAACTTCAGGTGCGAAGCACCAATCGTAAAGGCTGGCCCCATCCGTGGGGCCGTGGGGATTTTTGTCAAAGCTGTTATGGGACGATTGAAGACTCCTTTAGTTTACATTCTGTTTCGCCGAGCCCGATCTCTTGGGAAGTGTTTGTTCCGTGTAAAGGGTACAAGGGTGAAGGGCCTTTAACCATCGTATCTGCCAACGTGACTTCATGTGTCAAACATTTTGCGCGCATCGCCACCATAGATGCCCACATCAGCGATGAGGGCGGTGTGAGTTGCATGTTCCTGCGAGAGAGCAGAATCCCACAATCGCAAATTACGAACCTCGCGCGACGGTTTGAAAAAAAGGGTTGGAAGTTAACTGCAGGGTCACAGCCCAGCACTAGGAAACTGAAAGGCGGACAGGTGGCGAGATACCGTCAACCTACAGGTGGGGTGGCAGTAGTGTCAAAACCGCACTGTGTCACGATCCCAGTCTCTATTCCTGATTCCTACTCTTCTATTCAAAGCTGTTGCCAAGTTGTTTGGGTGTCGGTTGGGTGTTTCAGTTTCGGTTTTTACGTGTTTAATGTGTATTTGCCTACAGGGAAAGCTGCTGCTGCAGACAGGAACGATCTTATGGATCACATCTTCAGTTTCGCAGCTTCTCTTGGTCATCACCCAATAGTGTGTTGCGGGGACTTTCAAAGCCCGCCGGAAAGCAATGCATCCATTGTCACGTCGTTCGTGGCTGACGAGTGGTTTGATGTATATTCTGAACAGCAACAGGCACTGGGGTTGCAAATCGAACACACCTTCGAAAAATCCAACTCGCCTCATCCCAATCAAGTGTTTTGCATTTCTAGGATCGACTATTTCTTGTTGAACAGGCTTGCCTTACCCCTCTTTCAGTCTGCTTCGGTTCTTCGGGGCGCCGGTTTCCCTAATCATTCGCCGTGCACGCTTACCCTAAACATTGAACCGTTTCAAACCAGCATCCTTGTCGTCAAGCCTCACCCTAAATGGTCACTTGAACCCCTGCCCTGTAAAGAGTCCGAGTGGGAAGAGCGTGAGAGCGCAATCAAACCAATACTTGATGAGTTTATGCCCTCCCTTATTCAACATGCTGAGTGCTGTGATGTTGAGGCCTTGTGGACCACTGCATGTGCCGCAGTTACCAGTATGATTAACACAATCACACAACAATCTGTTCCTCCAACTAGAGGTAAGATTCCTTCGTTTAGGAAGGCTCCGTTATTCAAGCGCGACATCCAGAAACGCTCTTCCAGCTGCTTTAACACTGCTCTTAGATTGGTGCATGAGATTCGGTGCAAGGCTAGAGCATGGAAAGATGGCGCGTCTTCAGCATGGATCTCACAACTGTATGCTACTATTTCCAACGCCACTAATGTTGCAGCGAAATGCGGAGTTCATGCACTGTTCAACACATTGTCACCCTTACAGCTGCAAGCCTCATGTGCTTCCACTGAACAAGAGTTGGTGAGTGCTTTTGATGTTTGCGAGACTTCTCGGAAACAGCAGCTGATCGATCAGTGGAAGAATAAGCTAAAGTTGTCTGCGCGAGGCAATAAGTCCAGGGTCCACAGATGGTTGAAAGGTGAACGTGTTGGTCAACCCAGGTTTTTCCGACGTGATGACAATAGCATTACAACTGATCCTAACGAAATGTTGGAAATGATATCTGACCACATGGAGTCTATCTACAACTATCATGCTGACAAAGATGTAGATAGAATGGAGAGTGATTTTTATGACAAATACCAAACAGCTATTGATAACATAGCAGCTGACGCCGTTGTCCCAAGTATTGTCCACGACGACTTGTTTCGCTTGTTTCAAAAAAAAGAGTATTTTTAAAGCCTCGGGTTTAGACGGTTGGAAGGTTTCGGAGCTTCAGCAGTTACCACCGTCTGGATGGATCCCGTTTGCTCTTGTCATGAAGCTAGCTGAAGCCACGGGCATATGGCCAGAAGCGCTTAAGCTTGTTAGCATTGCTTCAATTTCCAAGGGTGTAGATATGTCTACCCCTCAGAACATTAGGTGTATTGGCATCGCCTCTGTCATTTATTCCTTGTGGTCCTCGTTGCGATATCGTCATCTTGCACAGTGGCAAGCTTCAGTATTTCCCCCAAGTTTAATCGGAGGCATTTCCGGACGCAACGGTGATGAATCGGAATGGCTGTTATCAATGGATCTACATAGTGAGCATACCGACACCATGGCACTGTTTTTGGATCGGTTCAAATGTTTCGATATGGTCATACCGCAGGTTTCTTTGGGTATTGCTAGACGTCTTGGGTTGCCAGACCACATTCATAGGGCTGCCTTGGGCGTTTATGCGAACCAAACCAAGTTCTTCAAATTAGGCTGTGCTTTCGGTAGGAGGGTTCTTTCCAGTAACTCGGCTGTGCAAGGCTGTAGCTTGTCCATTGTCATGGTTAACTCAGCATACGCAGTTTTTGCAACCGTCTTGAGCACTTTATGCTCTACTATTTCACTGAGATCGTTTATTGATGATGCCAAGTTTTGGACCCCAGAAAACAATCATGCTGAACTGGCTAATGCTTTATGCTGTGTTGAGCAGTTTGACCAAAGCATCGGGCAAGTTCTCAATCCGGAGAAGACAACGCTAATGACAAAACGCAAGGCAAAAGCTGACAGGTTTCTTCGTGAAGTTGGTCGTCAAAACTTTAGTCGTAAAAAAACTGTTAAATCTCTAGGCTTTACACAGTCGTGCAAACTCAAAGGCAGCGTTGCTATTCAGAATAGTAGGGCCGCTAAGGCTCGTCAGATGTTGCAGAAGATCGCTGTCTTACCTTTGTCGCAACAACAGAAAGAAACCCACATTCATTCCAATGCTCATTCCAAGTGGGTGTATGGCTCTGAAATACAAGCCCCTTCTGCGCGCGTCCTTCATAGCATCCGCTCAGCCGTTGTGGCTTGTTTGTTCAAAAAGAACCATGTTCGGTGTCCGTTTTTGAGTATGGCTACGCGAGCTGATCCTTTTCTTGACCCTTTTGGCAAATGGGTGTTACATGTGTTTTCGAAGCTTCGCAAGATGACCCGTAGCAACCCAGTTTTAGCAGTCAGAGTTTTGCAAGACGCTCAAAGGCTCGTCGGTAAGGTGCAACATACCAGCAATGGCGTTGCAGCAGTCTTTGCTTTTCTTTGTCAGGAGTTGCAATGGTCCTTTGTTGATGTCGACAACTTCGTCATTAAAACCCCGCAGCGCGGAGAAATCTGCTTAGCAGCGGGCAGCACACAATTCTTCAGAGAGGAGTTAGGCGTTGCGGTTCGAACTTACTTGTTACGCAAAGCTTCGATTCGGCATGACTGCCAGCTTCCAGCTAACATTCCGGACATGGACATTTTCTTGACCAGGTTTTTGATTGAGTCAGACTTCCGGTCTGATGAGGACTTCCAGTTCTTGAAGCCCTTTTTGCAGCGGTTGCCCTCCAATCATGCCCACACTCGTGCTATTCTTGAGTCGTTTATCACAGGCGGCATCTATACAGGACCGCGACTCAAAGCTGCCGGTATGACTCAATCGGATGAGTGTTGTTGCAAGCAGCACGCGGAGACCCATCAACATCTGTTTATGGAGTGTCCACTATACGCAGCTACCAGGCCAATCAGGGGTGAAGAGAATGCCGTCTCTTGGACAGCCGGCATTTTCTTCTCCCCGAGTGATGCATTTGCTTCGGAAAGGTCACGTGACCACTTGCTTGAGTTCCCCGAGATCTCCGAGACCTTCTCAGTTGACGAGCCAGTCTTTCTGGACGGGTCTGCTTTTCATGAAAAGTGGCAAGCGTTACGCTCCGCGGCATGTGCTGTCGTCGTTCCTGGTAAGTTTGAAATGTCGGTGCTCTTGCCAGGCAGGGATCTCACATCCCAGCGTGCTGAATTGTATGCCGCAGTTTTGGCCCTTAAGCTTACCCATGGTTCGGTTACATTGGTCAGCGATTGCGCAGGGGTTGTCGACAGGGCGACATCTCTGAAGCAACATGGCTATCGGTTTGAGGATATTGTCAAGTTTGATAATCACGATTTGTGGACATCTTTTCTTGAAGAGGTCCACAAAAGACCGAACTGCAATATTTCCTTCGTCAAAGTGAAGGCCCATGTTCCACGAGGTCACACAGGACAACCTGCATACTTGACGCGTGGCAATGAGCTTGCCGATCGGTGTGCCAAACGGAAAGCGCATGATGCTTTCGTCAAGAACTTGCAAGAGCTCAAGCCTTTTATCCAGAGAGCTGTTGACATTCAAACTCACGCTGTGTCAACACTGGTTTCAAGGAGAGCCGAGTCCGAAATAGATATGGCTCCAGACTGCACAGTGCCTGCGCCTTTTCGGGATACCGTGATGTCTTGCAAGTG